GGCAAGAAAAAAAAAATTCTTTGTGCTGTTATGCATTATTTGGTCCAAATAAGAAAATCATGTGCTACGATATTACATTTTAAAGTGCTGCCCCAATTTCAAATCTGATTTTTGTGGAGATTTACATGCAAGAGCGCTTTTTAAGGATAACTGATATGTCAGAGTTCAAAAAATTCTCTGAGGAAAATTACTTCCAGCCTGTCAATGCAAGTTGCTATGGCAACAGCCACACTGACTGCCAATGCTCTGCCTCCATGATGAATAAAGTGGAAGAAAAACCAGAAGATATTACAATGAAAGCCCTTGTACTTTGAGTCTTCCCGCAAAAGGAAACCAAAGGACTGCCTAGCCCATTAAGGTCTGAAGTCCAGGTATCACTTAAGTCCTCATGTGTGATGTTGTAGAAATGCACTGACTCAGCTTCACAACTTGAACATTCTCTGCATTATAGACAGGAAAGGGACTGAGACTGGGCTTTTAGTACCCGAGGGTAAGGAGTGTTGCCCATGTGGGGCTACAGCTGAAAACAGGACTAGAAGAGACTGCGGGGAAAAGGTCACTGCGAAGAAAAGATGGAGCCTACCATTAAGAGTAAAAATAGATGTACTTCAAATGAACCACAAGTGGCTGAATGTGTCTAGGGAGCAAACAGCTCCATCTAGAGTTTAAAAAGCAAGGGCTATGAAATTTTACATGTAGAAAGTTCAGGATTGATTAAAAATACCTTTTAAGATGGTCAGCACGATTTCTCAGTTAACACCAAAGTAGCTGCTAAATGTTTCTTTTAATTTAGAAGTCACTTATCCCTAGAAACTAAAAGATATTTTCATTAAAAACAGACTGAAAACGGAACAGAAAAAGCAAAGAAATCAAGAACTGCACACTCATACCTTACTCTTTATTTCAATTAAATTAAAAATGTGAAATCCTACCCTTGGGCAATTCAGAGTAAATTCCACTAGTTTCCAGTGCGATCTCACCATAGAACACAGCAAAGAAATTAGCCTGCCCACTCTGAATTCAGCAAAAACATTTATATCCCCACTCAGCACCAAGTGAATAGACCAATATGGAATGAAACTTGCTGCATGTGTAACACTCCTCATGCCCCAACCCTCTGCATTCGTGCCATCTTCCACTTATTTTTGCAAAGTCAGAACATCCCTGCTGAGCTGTTACATGTTCCAGGGCAAACTCTGGTTTGCACATCATTTTCACAATTTATCATAATCATTCTGTCTGCAGTGAAACAATTACTTTTATGATTCAGGACAAAATCCAGGCTGCAGCACATTGCCTAAGAAACAACAGCAGGCTCAGATAAAGGTCGGTTAGCTTCTCTGGCAGGATGAAAGAAACCAAGACTTGCATTAGCAAACGCTACTCTGCATGCAGAAGGAAGGCTGCCATCACCAGGCTCCTGCAGCAGCAGATACACAGATTCTGGCTGCCTTCCCACATCTAGTTTCGCAGTTCTAACACACAACATTGTATTTGGCTCCTTACCTTTAAAAAAGGCAGGATTTTTTTCTTACAATTAATAAAGATCAGCCACATTTGTATTCAGCTGACAATAAACCCACCAACCAAAGGACCAAGTCAGCCCCTGCAGTCAAGTTCACCTTTTAAAGAATGTGTTTTTGGTAGGCTTCCCCAGCACAGAACCAATGTACCAGTGTCACTGCTGCCAGGGGACTCTTGCCTTCCCTGTGCTGTCAGCCCCTTTCTTGCACATTATTTGGTCTATAAAACCACACGTATAACCTCCTTCATGAAACACGTTTTACAAATCGTCGGACACATTTTTATAGAGAAAATTGACCACATATAAAGGAGTACCAAAACAGCAAAGTTGAACTTTCAACCTCCAGCAGCAGGTTCCCAATACCTGCAGGTGTTGTGCACTTCCTACCACTCACCCGTACAAATAATCTTCAAAACACATCTTCCCTGACATGCTCTTTTTCCTATCCACTTCATGCTTGTTCTACTTCACACCCTCCATCTCAGGCTTTTAAATAGATCCCCAGGACTGCCCTCAGTTCCTCCCAGACCATGTTTTACTTTATGGCCTGCATAAAAACCATGCAGAGACTGGTTTGAGCCTGTGCTGAATGTTTCCTAACTGCGCCTCAGAATTCAAGGAGCAGCACCAAACAGAATAAGAAGGGTCAGAAAATCAGGAACAAAGGACAGCTGCTGGAGAACAGTTGGGTTTGAGGTCTGCTGCATTTCTGCCCCAGAACAAAAGCATGCCCTGGTCTCCAAGTGCCTCATTGTGTTTTTCCCCATATATTTATGCTTTCCCTTTATTTTCCTCTCGAGCTCTTATCCTTCTCTCCTCCCTTCTTGCTATTTCTACCTTCTTGCACTAAGATCATCCCTAATCTCTCTATAATCTATGTCCTTGTTTCTTTTTATAGTACCATGAAAAAATAAACAGTTTATGACAGACCAAAGCACTCCTCTTTCCTCCCCCAAAAAGCAATACTAACATGTAAGCATCGGTGAATGACAGTCAAATCATTTTACTACTGTTAACATGTGAGCTGTGGAAGTGCTGCACATCTGAAAAATAAATCAGGCAATTTTGTACCTAAAAGTTTAATGTGGAAACGTGAACAAGTGTGAAAATACCTGTCCCAGAGACACACTGAACAAAGCAGACTGCCAAGATATTTATAAGATAACACATGTTCCAATACGTAAATTAGGAAACTGTCCTGAAATACCCCACAGCATTGACTGAGGTACTGGATTCCCTCAAAGTGTTCTTTTAACATGAAGGTCTCCCAGTTTGTAAGAATCACACACACACACACACACACACACACACAGTCTCTTAAGTTCTGAAGAGCCAAAAAAGCAACACTAAAGAGACCTTGCATAGGAAGTTAGTGCCAGATTTTCCCCCTGGTTATTGATCTCAATGCTAACAGAAACATTTTTAGGATTCATTTATATCAATTATCCAGAGCAATAGCTAACCTCATTTTATTCTCATTTAATATTCCATTTTAAATAACCCTTGCATCTAGAGAGCTAAGTATTACCAATTCCTTGAAAGCATGCTATGAACTTTGAAAAACATTCTTCAAGAACTCAAAACATCAATCTTATTGTGATTTTCTATTGCCACGCAGTGCAAGAGAAAGAAAAGCCTCACAGAACAGCCATTCACATGCACGTGCAGAGGGAGGAGTTGCAAGTCAACTAATTTATTACCAAAAATGAAATCACCATCTTTCCTTTTCTACGTATCAGAGCCCACACAGGGAGCAAGCAAAATTTCTCCTACAGCATTTTACTCTAGGAAATTTAGTAGTCTGCATTTCATCGTGCAGTTTGAAATTGCACTTTTATCTCAGTATTGAAACATTCACTCCCGTGTCAAAGCAAAACACAGATTTCCAACTTAAAGTGAAGAAACAACATCTGAAAGTAACTTTTTATTTGCTCTGAATATCACAAACAATGTACATCAAAAGCTTCAACATCACTGTCACAGCTCACTGTCCCAGTCAAGCTGGCTGACCCTATTTGAAGTGGTTTAACAAAGAAAAATGAAAGCTTCCCTTCCCTTCAGAATAGCCATTATGTTGCCTCATCTTTGAGAACAAGCCTGGTCTCGTTAGTCTAATTTTGCAGCTCTGCAAGAAGATCTCATGTTACATATACAAACCTCCTGGTGTAGGAGCAAGCAGGGTTTCCTTTAAAAGCACAAATAACAATGGGAGAACGCTGCAGCAAGCCTAGTTTCGTGCAAATAAAGCCACACGTCAGCAGTTACACCGAGCTCTGCATGGAACTGCTGAATAGAGCGAGGCAGCCCACTTCACAAGTATTCTTCAACAAGAAGTCCTCTGCACACAAACCAAATCACGGTACTTCACGCTCCTCCTCAGTTACAGATTTACTACAGATGGCAACTATACACTAACTTTTCAAATCCCTAAGGATTAAATGCAACGTATTAACTGCTGTAACCTACAAAATAAGAATTCACTTCAGAAACAACTAACGTACCTCTGGCTTCGCTTTGCAGTCCAACAAAAGCTGTCCAGTATCAAGCTCAAGAGACAAGAAAATAATTGCTACAGCTCTTTCAGTCACATTAGATAACCATATACAAGTTTCTTTACCAAAAGGAGCGACGCCATTTTCCTTTTACAAAGCCAACACCTTCATTTCATTTTGAGCTTTGAAGCAAGTCGTGTACTGGAAAGCACTGATAGAATTTGCACTGATATTTACCTGCCTGCAATAAAGCCTGCAAAGTCAAGTTGTACTTACCAGCACTTATCCTTTTGTCAGCACAACAAACCACTGACTTTCTTTTGAAAAAAAGCTCCAAACAATCTCTCTACACATGCAGAAGAAAAACGTGGTTGGGAACAATGGAATTGGCTTTTGCTTTTACAGGTAGCACCCCAAAGGGATGCCTTTAAGCTTTTGGAAACCAGCAATTTAATAAAAACATCCTCTCTTCTTTTAAAGGCACCAACATGTTTCAAAACACACTTCCAGAGAGCAGACAATACAAACCTTTGCTCCAATGTGTATTTATGCTGGTTTTTTGTTTGTTTTTACAGAAAAACCCATACTTAGAAGTCAGTTTTCTTCAAATTCATTGAAGTAAAAACTGAACAAGTATTTCAAGAAGCTCTTCAGTGTTTCTTCACAGAGGAACTCTGAGGTTAAACAGACCTGTTCTGTTTATGAACACCTGGTTTTCCCTGGGTTTCAAAAGAGCAATTTTGGAGCAATGCAATGACAAGCTGCACAACCCTAGGAATCAAAGCTGACTGATGCCACAAACTATTGTTAAAGCAAAAAGGCTTTTTTTGCAGCTTCAAGAACGTGTGCCTTGAACTCCTCAAATAAAGCCAACACTTGGAAAGCACTGCTAAGTTACTGATATAAACAGCCACTTGTTACTTTGGATTAAGAATACTTCTGTAAATCACACTAGTAAGAGCAAACAAAACAAAGATACTTACATTGCATTTACTTTATCTTCTGGGCCCTGAACTTGGCCCGTCACTGTTCCTTGGCTGGTGTTTTTAACCCAGCCAACCACTCCTAATTTCCTAGCTTCCTCTTCTGTGTACTGGTATGAAAAGTAATGGAAAAGGACAGTCAGTGTCAGCACATACATCACACACACACCAATTAAAGCTCCATTTAAGTTTGACATCAGAAACAAAACAAAGAACACCTGACTTTGCTCACACTCAGACATTAAGCCAGTCCTGTCAGCCCTACAACTGCAGCAGAAGCAGCAAGAATGCCATTTCACATGTCGTTATAAATGCACCACTGAATTCCCACATTCATTTATACACTTCCTAATACTTTTCTCAAAAAAAACATGCTGCATATGATTCCCCACCCTGCTCATAATGCTCATCCTGCTGCTTGCTTTATCATTTGCACATGCATACAGATCTCCTGATAGTGCAAGCTTTTTCATTCATAGAACTGAGACTTGTTCTTTGTTTACAGACTCTTTAACAGCTTTAAACAGGACTCTACCAAACCCAGAGCACCTCTCTACTTACCACCCCTTCTAGGTTACCTATCCCTTTCTATAGCTCCTATCACCACTCACTTGTCTCCTCAGCAATCAGTCTCCAGGCTCTTTAAACATGTTGCACATGCAAACTTAGAGATTGTCTCTAGTTTCAGTCTAAATCCTCTCCACCTGACTTTCACCCCTTAAGTTCTATCCTTATTTAAAAACAGCAACAAAATTCAGCAATTTCCAAATACCTTGTTTTTTTAAAAAAAGTTCTTATTTTCTTTCATGTACTTATGAAACACATCTGTGTGATCTTCATATACTTGAACCCTGAAATGGCAGAGAACAGAATGGCTGTTCTACAGAAACCCATTAGTTTCATTCCCTGTGGGGCTGTGAAAGAACAGCTAACACTAGCACTTCTTCATTAGGATCCAGTTTACTTTAAGATGCTTCCTCCATTTTGCTTTTTACATGTTCAGTGACAAGATATGTAGCATATGTATTCTTGAGGCATTTATTCCAAATGCCAACAGCCAAACTTCAGGTCATATAACTACACTGCAAAATAGGAAAATGTGGAGGTAATTTAGTCAACAGAATGGTGCTGATACTTATGTAAAGTGTTTTAAAAGTTGATTACAAGCAGCTTCTCCCTACCAAGCTGTCCAAGAGCATGGGAATGCAGCTGACAAGGTGTTTCTCAATACTGATGGTTAGCTCAGGACTGACACTGTACGCGTTCACATGACTGCAGGTCAGCTCAAAACAAGTCAGAACAAGCTTGCACCTGCTTACCACATGATGTATAGGGACACTTCCCACTTTGTAGAGCACAATTAAAGATGTATCATGCTGCAATCCTTTATCACTTGCAATTCTGAGCTATTTCACAATATACAAGCGATGCTGAAAAAGCTTTTAGGTCTAATATTAAATACAGCTCACTGTGCTCCAACAAAACTTTGGAAAAATGCATCTCTTGTTTCTTGAGCTGCTACTCAAGCATGCAGCTCAGATGAGGAAAACTTTGGCTGGGACACCAGTCAGGGAAACCGTATCGCTCGGCTACAAGGGAACATAAGCTTCCTTAAATAGTGGCACTGTAAATGCAATTAATAATTTCAACTGGAACGCACGGCTTCAGAAGCCAGCATTCAGCACTTCTGAATTACCCTTTCTAAAGATCTGTACACCTGTCTATATTGCATGCCTGTTGTCTATCTGCATGTCTATCTTGTGGCTGTTACAACACAAGCCAGGCAGTCTTTAGAAATCATGCAAACAACGCATCAATAAGCTTCTAAAAATATCTTTAATAATACATTTATTTAAAAAAAAAAAAGTCCTCTTTTAAACACAGTACTTAACTTAGCCCTTAAGCCACCAAGTGGACGTGTTTATAGCCAGATGAGCTGCCCTATTTTTAGCACTGGAAACGCTACACCGCAAGGTACAACTGGTAAATCAGACATTGCCTTACCATCCTGAAACAAACACCTAGAAAAGAAAGAAAAACAGCATGAAATTACTTCAAACAGCACCGTTCCTAAAGAAAAAAACTCAGCTGTGGAAGTTTACTACGAACTGCACAGGGGCGCATCCTGAGGGAAACTGACCCGGAGCGCAGGCTGCCCGACCATTTTCACTAACGGAGCTGGCGGCGGTTTCTCAAATGAAAACAGAGTCTGGGAACTGCCCTGACCTCACACCCGGCAGAACTGCCGCCAGCACGCTGACAGAAAACGCGGGCCTGACCGCAGGTAAAGACAAGGCCTTTCGGCACAGCACCTCGCGGAGCACGGCCGGCCTTCCGGCGAGGCACACAGCCACCCGCCTCCCCTCACGAGGGGCCGCAAGCCCCCCAGCCCACCCGGCTTGGAGCCGACGCCTCGGCGCCGCCCGCCCCGCGCGCATGCGCACAGTCAGGGATCGCCGCTTGTGCCGCGCGCCCTTGGCGCCGCCTCAGCACCGGCGCCCCAGCCGGCGCGCAGCCTGCCGTTACCTTGCACTCGTCCGAACACTTCGTAATCCACCGACTTGAGCGCGCCGGAGGCCTTCGTCAGCGCAGACATGGCGGCCGTGCGGACGGAGTGCCGCTGCCGTGCGGCAAGCGCTCCGCGGGCCGAAACCGAGCCGGGCCGCCGAGTCCCGTCAGCGAGCGGCGCGCGGACGGCAGCGCGCGAGGCTCAAGATTCCGGAGCGCGATCGCCTGACTGCGAGGCGCCGCGCGGGCCGTGCCGTGTGTGTGGCGTTCACGGGGCTCCGCGCCGACCGACGGAACGGCGCGCTCCTGTCGTGTGCCAGCTGAGGCAACTCGGCGACCTCTTGCCAAGAGTGACTGCGATAAAAATCAAATCGTCGTTCTGCTGGCTCTCCCCTTCAGGCAGCACCCCCACCCAGAGTAACGCATCACAGCCCGAGTCGTTCACGCGTTCTGATGTAAAGACTGCAGGGGAATTGCAAGCAGACCAACACTGCAAAAAGCGCTTTCCAGCCGCACCAGCACTGCTAGAAGCGGGAACGCAACCGACAGTTCCATCGTTCGCCGTAACGTTCTAACACGTTAAATCAGGTCTTCTGCCTCTACTGCAGTCCTACGTTCTGCTACCGTAGAATCGGCACCATTTTGGTTTTCAATAGGATGATGCTGCAGAAAGCCATCAAGGCGGAGCGGGCTGCGGTAGGGACGGAAAATCTGTGGTCATTTGCTGCCATCTATCGGCAATAATGAGCAAGAACGGGTCGAAACCGAAACGGTGTCCTGTCGAAAATACAAAGCGCTGCAACTCAGACCTTGAAATTAGGGTTAGTGATGGTACTGAGGGCTAGATCTGCAGGTGCAAAATGCAACGGCAGCCTTTGTTTTATCACGGGGTTGAAAAAAAAGTAATCCTGCCTCTCAAATAAGTTTTCTTGTTGTCTTGTGTGCTCTTATCTATTTTAGCACAACTTCAAGCTGGAAATGCATCTTGTGAGCATCTCTGAACCAGGAAGTTCTCATCTGCTGCCCTCCTCCTCCCATCTTCCTTGCCACAAGAAGCCAGTTCAATATTTTTTCTCCAATTTTCCATAACATAATTTTCCATTCATTCACTAGATGACATCGTGCTTCTCGTCATCTCGTAACAGCACAAAAGAGAAAGACATCACATCCAGCCCCAAGAACACCAAAAGACAGTACCACGAAACCCCAAGTATTTTAGGGTCTAAGTTGTCAATATCAATAATCAAACAATATTCAAATACGTTACTTAGCAAAAGAGCTTTAACGTATATCATCTAGAAATTTAGATTGTGTGAAGTCAATGAAATTCTGCTTCATTGGTGACCTTTTCTTATTAAAGCAAAGCAGCAACTGTAATTAATTCCTGGAAGACAAATTCCTGTCATGATCTCTATGTCACCAATATACACAGGTCACTGTTAGGCTCACAGCAGTTTCTTTCATAAGATTCATCTTTTATTTGTCCCTATTCACTTCACTGTAAGCTTTCTTCTTTTGATCATCCCATAACCTTATTAATTCGAATTCATATTAGTTTGCTTTTATTCTTGTCTCTTTCAGAGTACGTTATTTTCATTTGTATTCTCACTTCTGATATTCAGATTGAATTCCACTCCCAGCACAGTAGCACCTGAGAACAATTATTACTCCAACTTAAGTTTGCTTATAAAGGATTTTTTTTGTTCTGAAAGCCTAGAAGGTTGCTTTTCTCAGTAAACTTGTTGCATTTGGGGGGAAAAAAAAATGAAACGCTGTTCTAGAAAAGGCTATCATCATCATCAAGTCATTTTTTTCTACTCTAAACATCAAGCCTCTGGAAATTCCTCCTAGTGCTTGATTCAATCACAGTAAGCTTCTTTCACTGGCCAGTTTCTAGTCACCGCATGGAAGAAAGGATAGAGAAGAGAATCACTGTTAGAAAACACCAGAATTTGTAATGGTGCTATCAGAACAATACCTCAAGAAACAGAACAAGTAGTGCAGAGCAAGGAACTGAAACAGATACCAGTACTTACAGGTGCACTCCCACAGCACTTGAACAGGGCAGGCAGGAACATCAAAAGCCATCAGTACCCCCATACACCATGATCTTAAATAGCAACAACCAAAAATCAAAAAAAAACAAAAAAATAAGATCATGATACAAAGCCAACTTATAGTTAACCAACAAGGCCAGAGACCCAGCCCTGCAGCTCAAAGCAAGTGCAAGTGCTCAGTTCTGAGCCTGAATGGAGCCTCATGACTGAGGAGCAGAGGTCCCAGATGGAGCTCACCAGGACAATTAGACCTACTGATGTCCTCTGGGCCCTGACACTGACCACCATCAGGTGCAATCTCTGTGATAAAAGGATTTTACACTTAGATACATTTCATGTTAGTTAATAAGATTATTCTGAAAGCTGTAGCTTTGTTAGTTCTGTTCTTTGTCCACTTCCTGTTCAGAATAGGTGGAAAACCATTGAAACTTTCTTAAACAATTTCTCCTGCTTTCTTTCTAAGTGGCTCTCTGTGATACGACACCATCACATCCACTGGATGTTTCCTACTCCCAAAATTACTCTTTGGTGTTCATGTCAATATTCTGTAAGCTGCATAACCTCCCATGTTGCTGTCTTAATTTATCCTTCAGCCTCTAGCTGTCTTTTATTTCCCTGCACCATTTTTATGTATTATGGCTCTTTCTCAAACCTGTCTGATTGAAATTCTGCTCTATGTTTCGTAGAGCTTTTTGCACCAACCATTAACTTTCCTGACTTTTCTTCAGAGTTCACCCCTCTCTCTGCCATTGGCTATCTGAAGTTTTTATCTATTGTTTTCTCTAGATTATTTAATCATTTATGCAATTTTATTTCACCACTTTTTACCTGAGGCAAAGTCTAAACCTGACTCACTTACCAACGGCTCCCAGCTGATTCTGATGAGAGCTTTCCCAAAGGATATTGAAAGCTCTGTATAAAAGAAGCTCTCACTCCCTAGCCTCTGCTGGTGTTTGGAGAGTAATGAGTGCTCAGGAAAAGGGCTTCAAGCTGTGTAAATTAGGGTATGTGTTCAAGTTTTAATGTGATTTATGTCAAATATATGTAGTCTGTCTTTTAAAGCATTATTCTCTTCTTTGCTTTTTTAGTAAAAAGCTAAGTTAGTTTTCTTTTCAGTAGTTTTTTGTTTCCCTCATTACTTTACTTCCCCCCCACCTAAATTATATTCACTCTGGAAGTTTAATTTCTTAACAAAGTTAATAGGAGTTTTGCTTTTGCAGGCTTCATGTTGTTTGAGACCCTTTGGGAGTCTTTATTTTGTTTACAACGTGTCAGTAGAACAAAATGTGTGAAGGCCTAATCTTGAATGCTTACAAAGGAAGAGACAGCCTTCTCCTGCACTTTCCTTCCAATGGAGTGGCTAACTCTTCAAATACTGCAGGTGAGATTTCAAAGCCTGGATGACATGACAGGCCTCTGGGGGTTCTTACAGAACCTTTGTTTGCCTTGTTCTGCATTAAATGTATTGACAGCGTTTAGTTGTAGAACTAATAAAGTGTTAAAAATGCATAAATAATTACAGGATATCTTTCAGTCTCTAAGCATTAGCTCAAAGCAAGACAGGGCTCCTGACCAACAAGGGCTTCAACAATACTGGCCACCAGTCCTACTGGGCACATTTAGAAGAAACTTAAAAAGGGAGCATAATGCATGTGGAAGAAGCAACTGAAGTAAAGATCGAGGCTTTGTGTGCTCCTCCTTGTTTTCTTCTTCTGCAGTGCGGCTCTTAGGGTGGGAGCATTGTCACCAGAGGGAAAAATTATACTTGAGCAAGCTTAAGCTCTGATGCTGAGTTAATAACACTTGAAGTATTTCTACATTCTACATTCATACAAACACTCCTGATGCAACTTCCCCATCTGCTTACTTCTTCTGGCCAAGCTTAAGCACTCTGTACAAAACCACAGAAGAAGGGGCTTCTGCTGGGAGATGGCATCTGGGTGTGAAATTAGCAAGCCAAAAATGTAAAGTAGTGCTGTGCAAAACTCTCACGTTGAAACACAACGTGAAAACTTTCCTTTAGCTGTACCATAAGTTTAAAAAAAAAAAAATTAAAACTGCCAAACTTGAGATTCAGGAAGCTAGATATAAAGTCCTTGAGGTCAAATTTGCAATAAACCCAAAGCACAGTCAGGTGGGCTGGTTGCAGCCACCTGTTTCCTGATCCATTTGTAATGAGAGCCCCAGTAGGTCTGTGTGGGAGGACCTCCACCCCTGTGCAGTGGCCCATTTAAGCAAGGGAAGTGTTATGCAGGGGAAGAACCGTGCCTGCACTGATCTAATTATAGGAGTGCAACCAAATTTTGTGTTTACTGGACTTAAATTTGTCCCTCGTTTGCTCTAAAATCATAAGCTATTTACATAAAGTAATTCAAGTTCTAGAGTGACAGAACTGTAAGCTCGTTATCTGAGTATGGCGAGATGGTGCTGTGTAAACGTTGTGATGCTCTGCTTTTTCCAAGCAGTTGCTGGGAGATTCTTCATGTAGAACTGTGCTAAGTATTAAATGCCATGGAAGGCTGCTGCTTTATTAAAGCTCTTACTCACTATGTCTTCATTCTTTCTAGGGCGTGAGTGTCCAAGCTTGTGGCTTGCCTGGGCCACACTAAGAAAAGAGGAATTGTCTTGTGCTGTATCTACATATGTTGCTCCAAAAGTAATGCCTCCTATTTATTTCCATGGTAAATACAACTGATTTGAAAGAGCACCATAACAATATTTGATAGAGCGAATTCTCAGCTACAAAACACTATTTTCCAACATAGTCTGCACCATTAGCTGTGCATTTTTGCCAGCAATTAACAACAACCTCTGTTGCCATACTCATAATAATCTGTAGCAGCGAAGGTGACTCTCTGCTGAAATGCACCAGCCTCTGCCTTGCTGTGCTGACCAAAGGCAGCTCCCTCAGCCAGCCCTGGGATGCCAGGTGTGCGGTCCCTCCCCAGCCCTGAGGCCCTGGGCTCTCACCCCATATGGCTGCGTCTTTCCCATACTGGAGTGACCAGGAGCAGACACAGGAATCCACACACAGACTCACAAGCTCCAAAAAAACAGAGGAACGTTTATTGGTTTTGGTAATTTTGTGAGATGGGATCTTTTTTAATACTGTTTGTGTGCTTTTTCTTTTCTACTCTTTTCTCTTTGTTTTGATTCGTTTATTGTTCAATGTTGAACAGACATCCTTATTCTGAGCCTCACCCTTCTTCCCATCAGCACCAAAGTTTTCTGTTCCTCCATAGCAGCAGCCACCTCTGTACCAGCTCTGAGCCTTCCTCACAGCCCCAGGCAGCTCGGGTCCGTCCTCCAGACTCCTCCTGTTGTCACAGCAGCTCAGAGGATACCAGTCCCTGCCCTTGTTTTTCCTTTTTGTGAAGAGATGAGGGGTCTTGGTGAGGGAGGGTGTGGGGATGGGAAGAATGGGTTCATGGGATCCTTGGATGCCAAAAGAAAAAATCCCAGGAAATGAATGTCGCATGTGAGCCTGTGGGTGATCTGAAATTTGGGGCTCTATTATCTAGTGGTGCACTTACAGGACAGGATGCTCAGCGCCAGCATCGAGGCGGCCATGTGGGGGAAGGCGGACAGGACCCCACACCGCTGCGATGGCAGGGATGGGATCTGGAATTCCTGAGAGCAGTGGCCTGCTGGTGGCTTGTCCCCGACGGAGGCGGATCGACCTCCACTGGCTCTTCCTCGGGCCCTGAATCCACCTCCATGGCTTTCTCTGCTCTCAGGGGAGTCCACCTCCATCGGCTCGGTGGTGTGGAGCTTCCCATTAACTGCTGCCTCTTGGCCGGTGGGCACTCCATCCTGCCTTCTGGGTAAAGGAAACGCTCTGCTCTGTAGCACAAAGTAGCAGCTGGTGTCTCTCACTCAGTGGCTGGAGTTCTGGGCGCAGGGTCCCCCTACTTATAGGACTAAGAACCAAAGGCTGACTCTTGACATCAGTAGGGCCTGGTGACGCCATTCTAGGATGGAGAGGATAGAGATGCTGAGGGCTGTTCTCCTGGTGAAGGCTCCCCCATGCCATTTTGCTTGCTGGAGAGAATGGTTTCCTGTTAGGCATAGGCACCCACTGGGGCTCCAGCCACCTTCTCATTCCAAGTATGGGATCCCTTGGATGAGAGGATGGGAAATGTGTCCCATGAGGTCTGGGGAGGGTCTGCACTATTCTGACCCAGCTGCCTGCAAGTGGAGCCTCCTGGACGTGGAGCTGCTGCTGTCACTGGGGCAGAAGCAGTTTGCACAGCAGTGTGAGGGGCTGAGCAGCAATCAACCAGTTGGGCTGGGTGCGTTTGCCAGGCAGCTCTGCAGATGCCGTGAGTGAAGAGACGGGGATCCTTGATCCTTGGTAGAAATCAGATCCCTGAGAGATCACAGCCAGCTTGTTCTGCTACCTGAGATAAAGTGTTGAAGCAGGTGGGTCATGTGAGCTGTGGTACCTCCAAAGACTCTTCTGGGTGCATCTGTATCTCGTGTGGCTCCAAAATCCTGCAGTCATAGTTCATGTAAAAATCACACTCCTGGATGAGAAAATGTTTATGCACTGTTCTCTGCAAGCCACGTGCAACCTTCTTTGTTTCTCTATCAATATTTATTTATTTATCAGAATGGGTTTTAAAAGTCTTCTAAGCCATGATACAGTTGAATTTAAAAGTAATCTTCCTTGTGTGCAGATTGTATTTTTAAAATGTTTTGGGCAATATCCTTGATGACCACAGAGAAAGTCACTGATAGAGAAGTACAGCGAATTCTGTGTTTTGAGCAAGGGAGCCCATGCCTTTTTTTTCTATAGCAAGTAGAAATGCAAGAGATATACACCGATTGCTCTCAAAGCAATGCCTCATGTTTATTTCCATGGGTACTGCAGCACATACAAAGAGCACACTAAATCTATTTGATAAAGCAAATTCTCTTCTACTCATTACTATTTTTCTCACTACTAACCACTGTTAGCTAATTTGTGTATGGGCTGATGGAAACCCTCTTCACTCTGTGATGTGACAGCTGTGCATGGGCAATCCAGAATGTGGCTTGTCTTTTGTGTCACTTTTGCCACTGCTGAAATGCACCACCCACCACCTCACTGTGCTCTGATTGCTGTTTTGTCCTCATCTGCCTTCAGCAAGTGTTGATGAATGTCTTTGGTGCCATTCTTTTGTATGGCACCAAAGGATTCAGTGACACACCCTTGCTTCTTATGCACTCCCATGTCAGACAGCATCCTGTCAGACTGCCCCTCTGTTGTACAGCAACAGCATGCAATGGGATATTGATGGGAAGGTTTCACCACTGCTGCCATCCCACCATCATCCACCTCTGTTATTACGGGCCAACATCACAAAATAGGAGGCATTAGTTTTGGAGCAGCCTAAAGGATACATTTTGTGTACATACATAACAAAGCTTACCATATTTCTTATGTTTTTTTATTAGATCATAAAAAAATAAAAAAAGAGAGAGCAACAAAAACATAAACGAATGGGATGTTTGACCTTGTTTTGTTGAAGCTAGGTTCAATGGCAGTGGCTGCAGTTCCCAGTGAGCTCTCAGGGAGTTTGTTGTAGATTTCTGATGACATTTTGCTCTCCGTGTGCTTCATCCTTGACAGCAGCTGTTTACAAATGTGCATACTGCCAGAAAGCCATGACAGGAATGAGGTGCGATTGTGAAACGAAGGATACTTTTCTCTGGGTTAGACAGACTATGAAAATCTATTAAAGAGACATTTATTCATTTTTGAGTTGAATCTCTGATTGCAATTCAATTTATTCTATTTGAAAATCTGCAGGAAATGTATTTATATCAACTGAAAATGGAGGAGTCACAAATATACAAAAAAAAAAGGATGATTTTTTCAGCAATCTTGAAAGCTGTTCTCGGATTCCTTCATCCAAACAGAAAGCTCAGCTGCATGTTTTTCACTGTTTCCAAGTCTGTGTTTGTCCAGTGTATTAAAAGGCATAACATTATTTGCCATAGCGTGAGTCAGCACTGCACTGCACCCTCCCCATGCCCTGGGTTCAGCCCACACAGTGCCAGCTGCACACCGACGTGTGGCTGTTGCTGAACTTTGGTGCAGCTTCCAGTATGTTTTCACTGCTGTTTGCCAGTTCCTTGCTTTGCTTAATGCTCCTTCACATAAACGGTTAGGATGACAAACTACTCAGCCTCTACCAGCAAAAAGTTCAGATTTCTCAGTCTCAATTAAGCTTTGCATAGTGTTTCCAATGCTGTAGAAAACAGAATCCTCGGGTAAATTGGATGCAGTTGATAGTTGTTAAAATCTTGGTCTGAAAACCTAACGGAGAACTGAAAAGCACGGCAGAAATGAACGCTCAATAGGATGCAAGTGGCTGTGAAGTCACACATCCATCATTTTGAAATCTGCTTAAATAACAAGATGTCAGTAAATAAGACACGAGGGGACGAACTGGTGAATCCTGTAGCAGAGACACTCCAACAGAACTGTGACTAAAATCTACCGTATGCCACTGAACTCTCAAGTGTAGGAGTGAGAGGCTGAAATTTGGGGTTAGGTGTGGTAGTTCCCCACTGAAATGGTGGATCAAATTATCCTTGGCCCCACGGTCAAATCTAAACACTCACTCACCTACTGTAATGCCCGTCAACATTTAATGTCATTGGGTATCATCTCAGTTCAAAAGCTAAGTATAACTTGAATTTAGAAGCAATGTATGAACCAAGGAACAACTCAACCATAATATTTTAATGTTATGAATCCGAGACCTAGGAGCTTTATGCAAATTAGATAGGATCCTAAATGAACGAAAGCACAAAAGCATCTGGAAAAGCACTGTGCATGAGCAGATCGTTAAAGTCCCCGACTCTGCAGGCTGTTCTTTTGGCACTGTCTGTGTGATCTCTGTACTTCTTGAATTATTTAATTTAAAACTTAATGCTTCTTGAAGTTGCACTGGGCATCAGGGGGCTCAGAAAGGTAGAGGGAATTGGCTGGGACTGGGAGAAGGGGGTGAGCCCAGGATTTCCTCTTACCCTTTGAAAAGAGCACATTAGCATCTTAGTCTTATGGCTCAGTAGCAAAGCAGATCAGTCTCACATTCCATTTAAGATCTATCCACACATAAGGAAGCACATTAACATCTGTGTGAAGCAGGGACCAATCTGCCGCCAATGGTTATAACATTTTCTCTTCTTGCACAAGGCACAGAGGGGGAGATGTGGTCATTTAAAGCAGGTAGTTATTTATTCCCATTGAACAAAGGGAAGTTTAAACATTACCCTTCCCACAGCCATTAGAACAATGATGTCAGGCTCTGTGGAGGATTTGGGGCTCTGGAAAAGATCAAAGAAAGCACGAAGGTGTGGGTTGGTAAAGGAACAGTGTATAATGGAGGTGGGTTGACAGCTATTACATTTTGCAGCACTGTGAAACTATTTGATTAATTCTCATTAACTGCGTTAGCCCACTATTTCTTCTCAAAAGCAGCAAAAAGAAGGCCTAATTAGTATTTCAGAACCTTGAAATGTGTTAGTGAAGCATTTGTCATCAGATATTTCAATCAAGCCTTGCTGTATGGATGATAACTTTGTTTTTTGGATTTGAAGCACTTAATCTGCTGGCTGATTCCAACCGAATGAGGGGAGTGTGTTTCAGAAACAGCTTGGAGTAAATTTGGCAAAAATCTCCACCTGTCAGGAGGAAGATTTGTTTGCTTCTAGGTGTGCTGAGGCTCCAGAAGCAGATCTCATGCAGTTTATGTGCTACAGGCAAGGCCTCATGTTTGCCAAAGGTAACAAAGCAGACATCATATTTTGGGGTTTTTGTCCTCTTTCTTTTGTCATAACCAAATGGTTTTGTCGCATTGCTAGAAAGGTCACTGTTGCCAGACCTCGATTTCCATCCATTTTCACCCTAGATGCTGCCTTCCCCATCCAACCTAGTAGAAATGCTTGGTTTTGTTTTGGTAAAATGAATTCATACATGTATATTGTTAGCCTCAATTCACGTTTCAGATCTACTTGAACGCTTCTGAGAAATCTGTGGTTATTTGGAGAAGTGTGGATCTGTTTGATGTGGTGTTTCTGGATTTTTAAAAAGCCTCTGACAAAATCCTTTGCTTAAGCAATCTTCCACAAGGTTTAAAAAAGACTTTTGGTAGATTAATAACTGAAGGAGCAAATATAAGGGGAAGAGAAACTTGTCAAGGAAATTCAAAGGGGATTTGTGATAGGACTCGTACAAACTATTCTCCAATAGTCAGGGAAAAAGGAAATCACTTGTTAGCTTGCTGATGGTTTTAGATAGCTCTGGGGAGTAAAAGTAAGTGCAACAGCAAAGAGCTACAGCATCTCAAAGTAAATGACTGAACGTTTCAGACAGCTGAAGTTGTGTTATTAAACAAAGTATTTTGCAGAACAAAAGCACACCAAACAATGAAACGCAGTGCTGGTTTCTGAATGAACCTCTTATAATTCCAGACTGATTCTGGAGTTACTGCAGCCAGTTTTGAGATCGATGTGATGCTCTGGTCTGTCCAGAAAAGCACTGAAGAGAGGTATGTAAAGTGTCAATGGACCAAAACAGTGCAGGCTGCTGCACAACTCCGGCTGTACCAAATATCGCATTCTAGCCATTCCTCATCTTAAAACAACAAATGAGCTTAAAAAGCAGATGAATACGGAGATGAAAAACCCATCTATGTGCTATTAGACACAGTGATACAACCTGTGACTCAGGTCTGCCTTCCATGAGCTGAAGAAAATGGAGAGTGCACAGAGGGAAGTAAAATATTATGCACGCCTGGTTCTGTCTTCGGTTTTAAGTTGTAGTCTTGGCACAGGAAGCTGTTCTTGCTCTTTCTGAAGCTCTTCTTACAGCAAACACTGACTGAAATCAATCTTAATGAAACTAAAAACTTTTCTGGAAAAAGATTTATTTGTGTGGGCTGGAGAGAGAAAATGGCATGGAGCCTGGGAATCCAGGGAAGAAAAACAAGAAGAGATTAACATGAAAGGTTTTGGCATCAGAAAGAGATTGAGCAGAGCAACTTTGACAGCGCCAGCCACTCCCTGAAAGGCTCCTGGGGACCTGGGTGCCGCCATACAATGCTGTGTGCAGCAATGTGATGGCAGTCGATACACAGGGATGGTGGTCTCAGCTCTGTGGCCATTCTCACGGCTGCAATCTCAGTGCTGGAGCTGATGTAGCAGAAGTGTTTTGCTCGGCACCTAAAGCACAAGCTGTTCTAAGCTCTGTTGAGATCTGAAAGTGATGCTGACTTGGTAACAGCCCAGGCACCCCTGACACCACGCAAAATTGCCTTTCCTTCCAACTTCCCATTTCAAAATGCTTGCTTTTCAGAGATGTTCACTTTCTGGGGACAACCAGAGTGACTCTGAGCCAGTTTATTTAAATTTTGGAGCCTCATGGTACTGTTCCAAGTACTGATGACCAACCCCTTGCTCCACTCGAGCAAGGCTCACATCTCTAAGGACAACCATTTTTCCAACTGTGTCTCATCAGGTTTTGAGGTCATCAGATTAATTCATGGCACAGTTACAGGATTTTTAGCATGCATTTGCCAAAACCAAGGAAGTATAAATCAGATTCTGCATTCATCTCCTGCAGCGTTACTGAAAAGGAAAACACATGGGTGTTGTAGATAGCGGTATCACTGCATGCCTGAGGAAATAACAGCTAACGCCTACTGCACTGTCCTGCAGAGCTCTCTGCGAGATTACGAGGTATCTTCTCTGTGCTTTTTGTTCAACACAGATTCTCCTCTTTCTCCTTGAGTCTTTTAAGCCCCTTCATTTTTTCACCCAGTTCTCAGTACTTTGTCCAGCAGAGGGGCAGTTTCCAGTTTTGCACTAACCATGGCTCAGTTTTCCACCAGGCTTGGCCTTTAAGCTACAACACAGAAACGTGGCAGAAGCAACTTTTCCCTCTCCCTGGAGTTTCTCGGAATTTACAGTCCTATTGTGTTCCCTAATTAGAGCACATTCCTTCTATTCCAAATGGCCTTTTTTCTTTTTTTTTTTTTTGACAGTTATAAATATTAACTTGCAGTCAGTTTCACCTTGATCTCTTCTTAGTGGGACACCACACACAATAAATCCCATCAGTTTAGAGTTTCCTGAATCCCAGCTTTAGTCAATGGGACCTCCATAGTCACAGTCATGCCCCAACACAATTATTTCACCAGGATATAAGCATAAGCAATTTGCCAGATTGGGCCAAATGATTGCTAAATAGCTCTTCGCTTGTTTCATGTCATGCCCTCCAAGGTTTCTTAATCTGCTGGATGGCTTCATGATGCACTGTGACAGAAGCTGCTGCTAAGCACATTTAGAAACGTGCCAAAGTCGACCACGCAGATTCAGTGCATAAAGCCATGCAGTTGGAAGCAAACTATGGGCAATTCTTTAGCAGGAGGGAAAGGATTGGTTGCTTAAGGGAATGTTTGAATGTGCTCGCCTCTCTTCTGTAATTCATAAATACCTAAATATTGCTACTCCACACTGAGACAGTGAGCAATCCACTGGAAGAGTTAAAGCCTCAACAACCACACAAGATACAGCCATGAAAAACAACTTTCTTTTTTTTCGGCCTTAACTTTTTCAACAAGTTTGAAAATCCAAACAAGGACTTTGTCTGTTGTTTGATTTATCCTGGGCTGGGGAAATAGACCTTAGACTTTTTCTTTTTAATACATATTGCCAAATTTCTTAATCAGAATAACACACGTTCATATTCTAGCTAATGACTAATTAGAAGAGGAGAGACTGTAGATGTCGTAGGATGAAGAACAGTTGTTCATAGGTTTGATCCATCAGTCGTATTCAAAAGGGCTTTGAAGGCTTTTCTAAATATATATTTACATGTAATTTTCTAATGCTGAGAAGCACACTGCATGTGGTGTCCCACGGATGTCAGTGGGACTACTCCTGAAGTTTGGATAATATCAAGCAAGTTACAATGTCATGATTTGTTCCCATTCTGAAAGATAAATCCTGCCCAAAGCTTTCTATGTAGTAGCCATTGTGATAACCTAAGAACCAGAAGGAGACCAGAAGGGGAGAATTGAATAGACAAGCCACAGAACTGAGAACTGCAGATGAAGGTGAAACACATGCATTTACCACTGGGAAAAAAAAAGGGGGGGATAAGGTCTGCAGAGCTGGAGTAACTGTTTGAGAGGTCTGCTGCAGATCCAAACATGGAGTGACTGTATGAAACTGCCACGTCCTTAAAGAGCAGCGTCTATGCAAGAGACTGATGGCTGCTGAGGGACTGTTTGCCCGATTTCCTGCAGTGGCAGAATGTGTAGAACAGAGCTTTGCAAGTTTGCTGTCATTAGATGCTCTTCTGCCTCTGGCTCCGGTTTGGCAAAATGGTGAGGCAGAAAAATCCGTGCTCCAGCCCCTCAAGAGGGGAAGAAAAAAGACGGTAATGCCTTTTATTCCAGAGTTGGCTGCATTTATTTCATATCAGAGGAATTATTATTCATTTCAAATAGCTACAAATAATTTGGAAAGAAATCAGCAGGATATTCCTATAATGAGGCTCAAGTCTACTATTTTATCTCCCTACAGCAACAACAGTTTCCAGGGATATCTTCAGGAGCTTCAGATATGTAGATGGAACAGACTGTGAAAGCTAAATTCTCATGTGTGGAGGTAAGACTACTTTGCATTCCAAATCTTACGCAATAAGGCAACTAAAGGGAACAGGAGGTGGAGAGGGAACATCAGCTCTGCTATAAATGATTTTGCAAGGGATAATTTTGGTCCCGTGTTTGTACAGACTGCACTCCTTGTAAGAACAGTAACCCACTAGCATTAGCTGTTAAAGAGAGGTCAAATAATATCTTATGAATCAATACCATTGAGGATGAATTTTACTGCCAACACTCTCGTAAACAGAACCACCAAGAATGGAAGGTTAAAGATAGCAACGCTGCCTGTATTGAGTCAGCACTGACTGTGTAATAAAGTTTTACAAATTGCACAGGTGCCCACTTTAAACACCTCACAATTGGACTCAAATTATGGCCTCAAGTTGCGTGAAGGGAGGTTTAGGTTGAATATTAGGAACAGTTTCTTCTCCAAAGAGTGAGGTGCTGGAAAGGGCTGCCCTGGGAGGTGATGGAGTCACCGTCCTGGAGATGTCAGAGAGCCATGCAGATGTTGTGCTGAGGGACGTGGCTTAGTGGGGGAATATTGTGGAAGGCGGATGGTGGACTGGATGATCTTGGAGTTTTTTTCCAGCCTAGGTGATTCTATGACTCAATTCCCATTCTGTTCAAATTCTTTTCCAAAGAGCACAGGAGCACCTGAGAAAATTATTACATGTGGGACTCTTGAAACAGAACTCTATCAGTGTGCAGGATGTGTGCTTTAGATCACATTGAGCCACCCATCCAACCTGAAACACGTAATAGAGCATTCAGACAGCCTTACTTTAGGGACCTAAAATTAGTTACTGTGAGTCACGCTTCAGAAGAACTTATTTTTGGCCTGTACTATACAGGAAGCTTAAGTTCCTTGGCACCTTACTCACATGCTGTCATTGCTTTTGCCCCCATCCTCCGAATAGATACATTCTCTGCTTTAAAAAAAGTTTATGCACTAAGTGTATTTCTAAGTTGCACCCTTCAAGCTCACCAAAATGTTTCCTATATTTAGGCAGAGCAGTGTTTCTCAGATTTTTTTAAATAATGCAGAAGAGGTAACAGATGTCTCCAGATGAGATTTCTAGCTACGATCCAGCATCATGTGTTGTTTTTAAAATCAGTGCCCCCGTTCATTTGATAAAAACTAGTGATTTGAATTGCATTCACATGCTTCAGAATATTGTTTAGAGTGACTAATCCTACTGCCATCTTGCTCATTGTTCCCCAAGAAAGTAATAGCTGCAGTTGAGTTCTTAGGGGCAGGAGGGAAGACGAGCAGCAGTAATTACTGCTCTTCACTGTTTATTCCACACAAGGAATTGCAACAACCCAAAAATCCTTACAGTGACTTAATTTCCCAGGGGCAGGGCAGTAAACACTTCAACAGAAAGCTGTAATTATAGTCCTTTCTCACGTCCTTGTTTGAAGGGATGGAGCAGCTCCTTGCGATGGAAATGGCCTTGTTAGTCTAAAGACTTGCAGCTAATAACTACGGATGCTTCTTCTGGGAGAATGTATGTTAATGTTAATCTTCTCTGCAAGTGGGTGAGCAGCATGGCAGCAGCTTCCTGGCTGCCTTTGGCACCTCTCAGCGCCTGCTTTGGGTGACTGACCGATTTAGAAACATGGGGATGAGAAAGTCTGAGGATCTTCATCACTGACAACAACAACAACAACAAAAAAGCTACTCTGCTTTATTTTTGCACTGCTGTCTTTTGAGGCACAGGGGTATCACAGGGCAGGGTAAATATCATAGAGACAATATGAAGCTCATGTTGGATTGGGTTTTCTTTTCCAAAGCCTAATATACATGGAACTCCATCCCTCAAAAAATTCAACTTTCAACTTTGGTCAGAAAGTACAGATGGGTCACCAAGGAAAACATCCACGTAGGAAAAGTACCTGACTGACAGCTGAGAGAGCAGAAACCGCCGTCAGAGTCGAGTGACAAGTTTCCTAACTGCTGATGACTGCTGGTGTTAGCTGACCTAAGGCAGCATGCCATCCGACAGGGGAATGTGTTAACACTGCTACTCGATCCACTGTTAACAGTCGAAATTTCACATGAATGGGAAGACTATTTTTTTTTTCTCAACTACAACGCTTGGGTTCATCAATTCTCAGGATTTTATGCCAAAACAAAACAAGTGGCGACCATATTTAGGTTGCTCTCGATTCGTATTCCTCCTACTTAATAGGAGAGGAAAAAGCTGTTGATGCAAGTAGCACAGACGGGCTCCTTGTTATGAAAGCTAGTCCTTCATCATATGACTTGGGAACCAAATGTGCTTTTACACACTGCTACAGCCAAAACATATTGCAAACTTGAAGAACAAATGTATTTTTGACTCACTTGGCAACACGTGTCATGTTTTTTTCCTTCTAAATAGCAGAATGTCAGTACACTGGGGAGAAAGGATTAGTTTTTTAGTAATTATCAAATGTAAATGATTCAATAGGCAGAAAATACTTTGAAATCACAAGTTCTATGTGCATGATTACTGTTGTAATTGCTGATGGACTCAATTCTCCTTTCTTCTTCTTTCAGATTCTGAAAACAGGAATCATTTCTGAGAACAAGGTCAAATTAGTTAGCAGCACGACTGAGGTGCTGATAGCATATTTTGCACGTTTTTGCCTGGAAAGTAAGTGTCTAATTCTGGTGGAAGGCAATTGTGTGCCTGAGGTACAGCAGTCACACATGAGGAGATCTGATGGTCCAGTTAAACGAGCACCCTGAGGCTGGCAGTGCTCATGTTTTTGTGCTTTATGTATATATATACATAAAACAATGTAGCTATGAAGCCACAGAGAGCACCTTTGGCATTCCTTATGTATCTGCCAAGTTCAGTTTCAGAAAACTGGACTAGAATTTCAATGGTTTTTTTTCTTCTCCAAGTCCAAACAACAACATCCATACGCTTCACATTTAATAAACACTTAATAAACATTTAATAAACGACAGCTGCCATTTGAACCAACTGCTACCACATTTGAGTAAAAAAGAATTACCCAGAAGAGACAGAAAATAAGTAAATTTAGATTTTTCAGTTTCAAGGCACATCTAGAATATTTAAAAAGTATTTTTACTTATCCTTACATGTACACATTCTTCATTACCACTTCTAGGACAGGAACCCAGTTAATTAGAGTTTATGATACAAGTATTCATTTCAAAGTTTGGCTTCACCTGCTGTTTATTTTTGTTTTCACCAGCAAAACAGGAAATGTGACAGACTGTGCACACAAATTTGACAGAAGTCAACTTTTATTTGTATCTCGAGCCAGAAATTCACATATAAATTCTTTGCGAAGGGTAGATAGGAGGAAACAGAAAGTGATTTTAATGCTTCTACAAAAGATGTCAAGAAATAAAACCAAATAAAAATAAAAATGATAGTCCAAACTTCTTAGTAATGATGTAAATGCTGACAGAAATAGTCCACAAGAACATGTGATCAAACTCTTCTAGGAATGGAAAGGCACTGTGAAGGTTCTGAGCATGCAACACAAAATCATCACCTTTCCTCTACTAAAAGCATAGGTGTGGGCAAATGAGAAAAAGCGAAACTCTCTTGTTTTCGGCAATGCCTGCTTGAAAATGTTTGGTTGTTTGTAGTAGCGGAAATAGCAAAGTATGTTATCCTGGTCTCATGCCACAATTCAGAACAATTACTTTCACTGAAGCTTTGAAAAAACATCATTTGATTCACCTAAAGTGATTATAGACTTCCACTTTCCCAAGATGTTACAAGAAAAATACTTGATGGGAGAGGTACGAAGTAGCATAGAGCCTCCCTTACGTGTCTGGGTAAACCTTATTCACACGGTGTTGCTTTACTGGTACTTTTGTGCAGAAGAAATCTACAGCACTTGTGCTGACTATGTTGTGATGGCTGTAAATGGAGGTAGCATTCAAACTGGTTTAAGGATCACACACTGGATCATTTCCTGCTGCACTGGAGTGGAAATAAAACTAGCGGGTGGTACAAAAGGCGTGTTAATCAGAGAAACACAGAACATCTTCAGTAGGAAGGGAGTCATAAGGATCATCGAGCCCAGCTCCTGGCCCACTCAGTGACAATACGGTACAAACACACTCCACAGGAAAGCAGTGTGAGAACACCTGAGCATCATGGCTTTGTTGCATACAGGTTGCATTTCTTCTCTTTGTGGTGTTTTTCAGCATTCAGTTAGCTGTTTTTTCTTCTGGGCTAGTTTGAGTTTAAAGACCAGAAAATAGAACTTGCCCTTGTCAGTAGCTTTATATCTAATGAATTTGAAGCTGTTCAATGGTCACGATGTAACTCTTGAGGGGAAATTCAATTAACAATTATATTTAGCAGACAGCTGGAGACAACAGCTATCAGCACTGCTTGTTATCACACATTCATCGCAGCTTTATCCAGCACCCACAGAGGCCAACGGCAGGACCAGGCACTGCCAAGCCCTGTCTCAGTGACCAGCATTATTATTTACCATAAGCTTCTTAGGCAGCCTCACAATCTGCTATCAGACCCCGTGACTAATTATTTCCATCACAAACTCCATCCCTGTTTCACATTTGGGCAGGGAGAGGAGGGGACGGCCTCACGTAGTGCCAGGGGAGGTTCAGGCTGGCTGTTAGGAACAATTCCTCCTCCCAGAGAGCAGTGAGGCAGTGGCACAGCTGCCCAGGGAGCGGTGGGGTCACCTGGAGGTGCCCCAGAGCCGTGGGATGAGGCACTGAGGGACGTGGGCAGTGGGCACGGTGTGCTGGGCTTGGACTGGGTGATCTCAGAGGTCTTTCCCACATCCCCCGTTCTGTGTTTCTGTGACTGACGTTCAGCTCTCTCCCGCAGCCGTTGAGGGCGGTGGAAGAACGGCTTTACGCGCCGTACTTCGGGATCCCTGCCGCTTGACAGAAGGGCTCTGTAACGAACCGCAAAACCACAGAGAGTGAATTCTAAACTCGAGTGGGAGCAAGGGCCTTTCCCCAGCAACGCTCCACAGCCGCGCGCCGCGCCCAGCCTGCCGGCGCCGCTCGGAGCCCTCAGCAGGCGCGGGGCGGCTCTCGCGAAATGGCGGCGCCGCCACAGGGCGCCCTCGGGGCGCCAACGGGCCCCCGTCCCTCGGCCGGAGGAAGCGCTCCGCCGAGCGGGAACCGCCCTCGGCCCCCGCCTTCCGCCGGAAGCGAGAGGGGCGGGCGGTCGTCGGCCGTTTGCTCTCTCGCGGCGGAGCCGACGCGGCACGCCGTTGCCGGAGCGCTGGAGGGCGGCGGCGGCGGGCCGGGAGGAGGCGCGGGACCGGCCATGGAGCTACCGCCGCCGCAGAAGGAAATCGTCTACAACAAACTGCTGCCCTACGGCGAGCGCCTGGAGGCCGAGGCGGACCGCTTCCTCGCGCAGATCAAAGGCAACCTGGCGCGGGCCGTGCAGCTGCAGGAGCTGTGGCCCGGAGGGCTCTTCTGGACCAGGAAGCTCTCCACGTGAGTGCCCGGCGCCGGGGGGGTTTGGGCGGCGTGGGGCGGCGGGACAAAGCCGACCCGGACCGTTGCGAGCGCTGCGGATCGAGCTGGCTTTTCTCGGCTGGTTATTTCGCCTCAGAGCGCTATTTCGTCTTTGGTTGCTTGCTGTCTGCTTGGCCACCTGTGTGACCTCTCGCTTTTCCGAGCGGGCCGAGCGAGGCGTTATCTCTGCTGAGTTGTGCCGTGCTTAGCGCCTTGGCTTCGTTGTTAAACGCGTTTCCGTAGTTATAAGTCGTGTTTGTGCCAGGAATGACGAGCTGTGTGCTTACAGAGTCCAGAGAGCCTCTCGTGGAATTCTCCTTTCTGCCCTTTTTTTGATCTCGTTGTAGATCAATAGGGATCCTGCGTTGCATGTTCGGTGTGTACGTACGGAGCTGCCTGTGTTTGCCAGGAGGCATTCTTAGATAGAGCTACGTCGATGGTTTCAAAATGACTCACTTGGTTTTGGTATGTGACAGTTTAACCTGCTTGGAAGCAGCTCAGCCCTGCTTCGTGACCCCCCCGCCCAACCTCAGGGAGCTCCCACTGCTTTCAGTTGCCTCGTTGGAGTTGTGGTAGAACTCCACATGCTAATCCAGCTGAAGTAAGCCACGACAGCTCTTACGAAGATAAAGGTCTACGTGAGGCACCTCGGCTAAACGTGGCATGTAAATCCTTTAAAATCGTGTGGGTTGTGTTAGAATTGCCCCACGTCCTGTCGGTGCTGTGACCGTTAGCGGTTCAGGCTTCAGGGCAGTGTTTTTAACCTGCTGAGAGCTGCCGCTGTGCCACTCTATGAATCAGGAGGCTCTAATTTGTGGTTTCCCACCTGCTCTTTGAAGTTTGAATTCATTGTGTGTTGTGCAACTTGTCTGATGCCTCTTAGTCCAAAGATTTCTTTCTGGCCTGTTCTATGCAGTAGACAAGCCTTGGAGCACATGTGGTCACAGGCAGGGAAGGAAACAGTGGCACTGGTTTAAAAATAAGCCTGTGCTGAACATGAGAGGTGTTTTGCTGCTCAGCTGAACTTGACAGAGTTCTTCTGCGGGCTTAAATGCTTTTATTACAGCTTAGGCCTAGATGAAACATTTCCCAACTCTGTTGTGTTCTGATTTCCTACCTATATCAAATTATAGGAGGATGACTAGAAAATCTAAGTTTTGTTGTCTGTTGATGGGAAGCAGTTCATCTCAGTGCCAGCTTAGTCCCTTTCTCCATGCTCACCAACTGTCATGAATTTAACTTTTTTTTTGGTGGGAGAGTGCAATGGATCTTCATAGTAGTAAGGTTTCTGCTTTGCTTGGTTGCTACAGATACCTGAATCAGAAAGGCCAGTATTCTCACAGTGTTTATAATTCAGTCATGTCTGACGTGTCTTTATTCCACGTACACTTTAAAACGCTAATGCAAGCATTTTAAGATGTACATAGACATAAATAAGTCAGGAGAAAAACCCACTCTATCAAAGACTCGAGGTGTGTGCACTCGTGTTGTTGTGCCTTCTCAGGTGCTTTGTAACTTCATGCGGTTGTGAATGAACCCTGTGGACTACAAAGAATGAAAGTGAAACTCAAGTCTTTTTTGGGATTAAAAAATTTGAAATCGGTTTCTGTTGCCTTATTTTGACATCACAGCTGACCCTGAGGTCTTTTAGTTCTTATACTCTCAGCAGTTGAGAGCATGACTTGCACATTGTTATCTTAAAAGGAGCTTTCTCGTCTTGCTGATGTCATGGACTGAGGTGGGGGAGGAACAGGGGAAAGAGCAAAAACGGCCTTTATCAGATAAGAAGTGTATAGTCTAATTTGCGTAATTTGCATTTTATGCATAACAGAAAGTCATGTAAATGATCGTTTTGGTGGAATGTGTATACAGAGTGTAGCAAGACAGCTTTCTCGTGCAAAGACAGCCACTTAAGTAACTTATGACTCAGTGAGACTTCTTGTGCAAGGGAAAGTACTTGCCTCAAAGACTGGCATTCAAAAGCAATCATTACCCCGAGACTCCCCAGACTTTGGCTGGTAAAATCTCTATCTTATAAAACACTAATCCTGTTGTGAAAGCAGAAAACCAAATGTCAGCTGTTGTATAACTTGCTACAGTGTCCAAAAAAAACCCAACAAACCGACCACAACAGAACACGTTGCATCAAAATCATTTGTCTAAATGGGCTTGCATCATACTTCTGTTGTTTTATAGGTCAAAAATAGATTGCCGTTTCAATTTTATTCACTTCTTTACGTTTCATGTTGAAACTAAATAGGTTTTCTTCTAGGGCATAGCCTGTAAATGTGCACACTAATGCAGTATGAGCAATTAAGCACGTTCAGTTGACTTTGCAGCCTGAAAAACACGCAAATGTCTTTCTGTGCTTTCTGCTTGAATAGGTAAGGGTGGAGTTTTTAGAGCTGAGGAAAGGGCTTCTGTTCCTGACGATGGCATCTATGTGTTTGTCTATTACAAAATGACATTTAGGTGTCAGGTATGCAAAACTGTATCTCAGCTGTTTTGGATGATAGGGCACAGCAAGGATGATGGCCTCTCAGTGGGACGTGCTGAAGTATTTTAATTGCTATCACAATATAAATCTTTTTTTTTTATCCCTACCTGTTTCCCTCCAGTCGTTAACAGAAAAATATAAGCCTTCATTTTGGGTACGCAGTGGTTATGTGCATGTATGGTGTACACACACATCTGATTGGAGTAGTTTTAGTGAGCATGAGTCACTATTTTCAATGCAGTTTGCCAAAACCCGAGTTTTAGGCCAATTGTAATGCTGTCCTATGTGTTAGAAAGCGAAAGCAGATAGCTAGGAATTCAAGAGAGTGCTCTACTCAGCTTCATAAGTGAAGGTAATTTTTAACTCCAGTAGGGCAGCCAACTTCTAGGATAATTTAGGATGTCCACTT